CATTCAGCTACAGCTTAACCAGCCAAACAGAATACTCCCAACAAGGCATGAAACTCAAAACATGAGCTCTTTGGATGTGATTCCTGCTGTTGCTGTGCTACAGAGACTGTTGTTGAAAGAGACTCGATCCAAGGTAACTAATGAATAGCTAGCTAATACACATTGTTTAAAATCAGCTAGATTTGTGATTTAATTTTTAAGGTACATTGCACTCACTTACACCAGCAACTAGTGGGGTATTTAAGTAGGTTACTCAGAATAGTATCAGGCGCTGTATTGGCGAGTCCTAAAAAATATTTACTCATCAGAAAAAACTGGTATCAATGCATCCCTAGAAGTAAACATAAGAATCTAAACATTACACTCCTCTGGAGTTCAATACATACTGTCAACAAATGTTGGTTTGAAATTTCAGGCAAATCTAAACATCTGTCTGATGCTGATAATTTATAAGATATGATTACGATATCATTATGAACCCCTAATCAATTCTAGACCTGTCTGCCATTTGTCAGGAGTTTCTCTGCTCTAACACAAGATTAAAGGTAATGTTAGTTTGCTAATAAAGCTTGAGATCCTTGTCTCATGAATACAGAGGTGCATTCAAAATGTAAAGAAGATTTTTCCCTCCCTACTTGATTCCCTACAAGGACATTGGTGTCAAACATGTCCTAGAAATCCTACTAACTGACGTTACAAACTTGTTTGTAAAACTACAACTTCTCATGCTGTTCTTCAGTAAATAACAGATCTCAACAATAGCCAGTTACATAAAATAACATGGTGATGGATGTTCAAGTGCAGATGTGGAAAAACACAGGCAAGGCTTTTTCCCTCATTTTCCCTTGTACCACTTAACAAATGTAAATAATTAGTCATACAACATTATTATTTTCTTACTGCAAGGTCCAAGCTTTCCAAAGGAAAAGCCTCCTCAGCAAGCAGCTGCACTGAAGAGTCAGCATTGACGGTGACTGAACCACTGCTCACTGTAATACAAAACACCACAGGTTTATGGAAGGGTCACACATCTCTCATCACAAATGGAAAAGCAAATAATGATATGATTCCAGTTGAATTGGCAAACACTTTAAAAATCCATGTGGACCTGCCTGTGCAAGTGAGGTTTTGATGAAGCAATTAAATTCAACTTATTCATAATGCTATCACAGCCATCAGCCTATCTTAAAATATCTTGCGACGCAGACTCATACCATGCAATTAAAAACGTCAACAGCTTATTTCTGCTCATATACAAGCTTACCCCTGTGTTATGACAAGTTCAGTAACTAAACTAAACATAGTGGGCATGTCGTAAACTTAAGACTGCACGATATGCCTCATCAAGTTGACAAAACTCATTAATGGTGTGTTTTCACAAAGTGTCAATCTCAGAACTCATATTTTACGCTCTAATTCACATTACAGCGCAGGCAAGTCCGTTTTGCATGACATGGAAAGCGAAAAGTAGTCTAATTTACTGTTAGTAGTAGTATTTGTGAACTTTCCATTACATTATAAAACACTCAACAAAACCTTAAGATACATTCCCTCAAACATCAGACCTTAATGTCAAAACTAAATAACAGAGTTGGTGGCATCTCACCTCCATCAGTAACAAACAACAGCAAAATTCATGTCACTGTTTCACTGGTCAATTGTTAAGGACGTAAAATGTGCACAACATGAAGGGCACTTCCATCAATGCCTTAAAAATCCTGCATAATTAAAGATGTAAACGGTCATGCAAAGTGGTTTGGTGTGAAATGCTCAATTCTACAGACTCACATTTCTTCATAATTGTGGGGACAGAAGTCAAAATCTGAAGCATTTAATGTCTTTAAAAGCTACATGACAGAAATTACATGAAATGGTTAGGAATAATACCGGAGACACGGCTTATATGACAGTTTTAAGATAAAGTTTTGCCCTATTACCTTTTTTGTTATCTATTCATGACTGAGAGGTACATGGAAGGTGTTGTAAAGCAAAATAGTCCCTAAAGATTCACCACTATTGTACCATTATCAACATCATACACAAAAAGTTCAGAAGACATGTAGGTTCCCGAGCTGTTTTGGATAATAAATTAAATGGTCATATTTGTGTTGGAGATCATGTCCCCTGGTTCCCATCACCACCATAACGAAGAAATGAGTATGTTTCTGTATTGCACCATTTTGCATCAACCCACTCCAAATGACTGTTTACAACAATAACTGAACTGTGCAGATTTTTTTAAAAACTTTTATAACGCAAATTTCACAAGCTCCAAGGAGAGGAAGTCATCACCACCATTTTGTCCTTTCTGAATGCATTCAGGACTGTTGGAGCTGTTCAGCTTGGTACAATGAATGGAAGTTCTGCAGCTACAGCAAGACAGGGCCTCTAAAAAAAAGACAAGGAAAAAACCTGCAGAACACTCTGCAACATATAAGCTGAAGGGCTTTGATGGTTCTTTAAACTGCACAAAAAAGGAAATAACTGAAAATGAACTCGCTTCAACCTTAGTAAACCAAAAAAAAGGTTTGTTAGCTGTAATATTTACAATACTTCTTGAAACCCAGTGTTCTGTTTTGTCATTCGACCAAGAGACAACCCCTAAGCTTTTCTTTGTCATTTGATAAATGTTATTGTTGCGCTCCATTAAACATACTACTACAGGTGTGTAAAGCACACACACACACACACCATCTAAAGCGCTTAGACTTCTGGGTCATGTGTAAAGTTAAAAGTGTTTGCGTCTGGCTTTTGCTACCCTATTTAATGGAATGTATCTTTGTTAGACTTATTTGATTTCTTCACAGTGTATAGACAAGACTTTTCCCACTCCACTTTGTCATTTGACAAACAGAATGGACGCTTGTGCACTCGATTCATGGAGATGAATCGAGAATTGATCAAAACATACATCTACAGCGGGACAAAACCTCACCAAAATACTTGGCTGAAGATCCATCCTCACTGAAGACGGTGACCACACCAGGCCGCAGCACTTGCAGTGTGGGGACGTGGGCTGGAAGGATACCAAAAGCACCGGTCAGTGTGGGGACATCAACCTGTCTTACACTGGCCTCCTTGAAGAATACCTGCAGAGAGCACAGACATACTGTTAGGGTTTACACTAAAAAAGGACGTGCATGAGGGTCAAAAGCTTAAGTACCTAAATTATTTGCAAAACTTAAAGGGAATTCAAGGAAAAACGGGCAACTTAATCGCCTGTCTTCTTTTTGTATATGTTCTCTTTAACCAACCATTGAAAGGTAATGTTAACTTTATCCTGAACTCCTACTGCAAGTCAAGGTGAAGCGGAGCGCTGGCATGACAGCTTAGAAGCTTAAGAGCTAGCTAGCTAAGCTAACTAGCTAACCTAGATTAACCGTTTAACCGTATAATGAAATTTCGTGAGACTAACTGGAGCCTGAAACAGAAGTAAACGTTCAGCAAAACTAGCTAATTCAAAATGAAAACTCAGTGTAGACAACATTACACTACACACAGGGCTCAACTTTAGCAGTAGCACAAGCTAACGGCTAACCAATACAACGAAGTCCTGCAACTGTTCGCTAGCAGCAAGCTAAGGACTAAAAGCAGCGACTGGCACACAATATTTAATAAATTGTAAATATAGCAAGCATTGTAATAAGGTATTATTAATGACTTGCATCTTAAAATATGTAAAATAGTGGTCGGGTGGCGTGTGGAGCAGGCCGAGTGTCATTACCTCGTTCGGCGAGGCGAAAGTGAAGGACATCTGGGGAGAAGCGCTGGTAGCTTCGGCGTAAAACCGAACCTGCCGGAGAGCGGGAGCCGCACGGCGAAGGAGGAACCTTGCTGCCATCATTTTGCCAAAGTCTGTGAAGAAACGGACCTTTACAGTGCACAGAAATACAAACCAGGGGTCCCCCAACCCGAATCAGTCATTCAGTGCTTGGCGGACAGAAAGGGCATCGGAGCTACCCAAAAGTCTATGCGGGCTGCTCGTGCATCATGGGAAATGTAGTACCTACCCGTACTGCCTCTCATATGTGCATTATATCCTTTATAAAGAGCAGATATTCCATTAAAATTTCTCTCCAAACTTCTGCATAATTAAATCATTAAGATGTAAACCATTAAGAGTTATTTCATAAAAATGCTCCGTCCTGGAGAAACGTAGTGAGAATTGTTCACAGTGGGGACCAGAGAAAACTACTTACATTAAATGGTTACGACTGCCTGAGACATTGTTTTACGATATTTTTCAGATAAGGCTTTGTCCCCCAAAATGCTGTGGCGGAGAGGTACATGCAGGGCGTTATAAGGCAAAATAGTCCCCAAAGACTATTTAACCATTTTCAACACATGAAAGCTCACTAGTGGTTTTGAATAGTAAATAAAATGGCTATATATGCATTATAGACATCCCAACGCCTGGCTCCTATCGCCACTACTGTAAATAAATCCGTTTATATCCAGTGTACCATGTCATATTCTGGCACTATATGAACCGGCGGAATTCCCTTTTAACAAGCAGGTGCAACGACTGTAAGTGATCTTGATGGCCACTAGGTGGCGCCTGGACACTACCAAAGACAGTCACCGGCAATTAGGGCTAACAAATCTTCACAAAACGTTACAAAATGTTCTTTTTCGGATATATGCCTTCATTAAAGACCCTACAGGCTGGGCTGCCTAACAGGAAAAAAAAACTGTTATAATACAGGCTGAAAGAATTATTATTTATTATGCATTATACTTTATAATTATAATTATTGGATGAAATGAAATAATTGCCTCATATTAGCACCTTTGAATGATCTCCTCACCTGACATCAAACAATAAGAGGGTCTGTCAGGTTTCTGTGCTCCCCTCATTATTCATTCTGGAAGGAGCCCGGTCTTTGTCTCCCCTTCGCCTTAGCTCACCTTCTACGTCACACGGTGCTTTCCTCGCTGGGCGGTGGGAGGGTGGGTGTGTCTGACGCGGGGCTTTCATTTCATTCATAAATACATTTAGCTTTTACATTCTCATATCAGCGTGCTGGGAGGACACTCGCTCGCTTTCGGCGAAGCATTCTTACATGGATCACATCCATTATAATTAGGTAAGCTTGAACAGGCCTGTGTGATCATTTACTTGCATGCAGCTCGTTTGCTATTCGCTTCTGCTGAACTGCTGTAGGTTCTTTGCATTGCTTATGGACAGCACTGTCACTGTCAGCCTCACAGGGGCTCAGCAAAGCGCGCAGCCTCTCCAGAACTACCTCTAATCTGTCAAAGAAGGCTTCAGTTCATGCAAGCAATTGTTACACTAGTTCATTTTTGAGCTAGTGACAAAAAAGGATAGTATATTGATTACTTATGCCTTCTCATCTCCACTTGCTTGGGTTATTAGCTTTTCCTTAGTCTTCATCTTCACTTTATGCCATTATATTGCTTCATAACTCACCATCACTCTTGGCATCTTTTGACCAGCCTGTGTTGCTTGGAATTGTGTGCTGCTACAGTGCTGATGGGGAATATGCTGGGGGGGAAGCACAGCCAGATGCATGCATTTACAATTTGGCTGACTTTTGGAGGAGAGAGTGATTTCCTGCCAGCGTTGCAAAAATAATTTATAGCCGAGTGGGTCTGGCTCCATAAGTTGATCAATTATTTGTGATGTGACATAACGCAGCACAGACGTAGTCCTGTCTTACCTTTAAAATGATGCACTTGGCATAAAATGAGTGTCCGGATGTCTGGAGCAGATGCTTGGCACCCCTTGTTTGGAGCGTGAAGGGACAGAACTGAAAGCAACAGTTCCCTGTTTCAAGGGTTTTTCATCTCTAAAGGTGGGTCAGTGGCTGGACCGATAGAATATGTCCAAAAGTTTGTAGACACCTGCTCATTCAATGTTTCTTCTAATAGTAAGAAGTTTGTCCTGCGCTTTGCTCCTCTACTGCTCTGCGAAGGCTTTACACTACATGTTAGAACATTGCTGTGAAGATCTGATTGCATTCAGCTGCAAGAGCATCAGTGAGGTTGGGTACTGATGTTGGATGAGTTCTGAGTCACTCCAACTCACCCCAAAGATATTGGGTGGAGTTCCATCACTACATGGAATGCAGAACATGCTCCACAGCCCAATGCAGGGGGGCTTTATACTCCTCCAGCCCACACTTGGAAACGGGTATGATGACCTTAGGCTCCTGTGCAGCTGCTGTCTATTGGCAATGCTTTTCTAAGGAGATTATACAAGCATGCAAGTGTCAGCAATGAGTGCACCATAAAATAGTTGATTTAGCTAATTAGAAGGGGTGTCTGGATACTTTTGGACATTTAGCACAGACAGTGACTTTTAATATATTTATCCAAACTTGATCAGGTTTTTAGATTATGTCTAGTTTATTAACAGTGCACAGAACTACTAAAGTCTGAGGGTGCCCGAAATGGTTCTATGGAGCGATGCAGTAGATGAATCACTGTTCCCTAAAGAACCTTTCAACAGTGGGTGCTTTAAGGAATTTTTAAGTTTAGGACATGATTGCGCAGCTAAAATCTACACTCTTAAAAAAGATGGTTCTTCAAGCATTCTGCGGTAAAGAAATTGGTTCTATAAAAAACCACGGATACTCAAAGAACCCTTTGCATGATTAAAGGGTTCTTTGCATCATGAAAGAGTTCTTAAGAATGTGCTACAGATTGTAATATATAGAACCTTTTTCAAAAAGATTCTAGATAGCACCCACAATGTCAAGCTTGTAACAATAGAAGAACGCTTTTGAGTGCTATATAGAATCCCTTTCAAAAAGGTTCTATATAGAACAATCTGCAGCACATTCTGCATCAATCTGAAGAACGCTTTCATAATGCAAAGAACCTTTAATCTTTACTAAAGAACCCTTGAAGCAACATAATTTTTTAGAGTGTTTTACATTATTATACAATACGTCGATTAAAAAAATGAAAGAATTAAACTTTTCATTCTCGATGGATCATCTTAGTTGTTAACTTGTAGTCTGAGTGATAAACAAGGTCTGTAGGTCATTATAAACCCATATTTAGCAGACTGAAGCTTCCCCAAAAAGGGGTGGTATTAGCTCTCAAAACATTGAGTGCATTTACATGCACTTAATAATCTGATAACTGCAGAAAATCAGATTTTGTCAGTAATCCGATCAATGCGTTTACATGCACTTGAGTAATCAGATAACGGAAAACTCCAGGTCTACATAAGTCAGGCAGTAATCAGATTTCTGCTTTGCAACCGGCCAATAAACCAATAAGCAGAAGACAATAAATGTACATCTTTTTTTTAAAAACATCGCGCCACATTACCTGGAAATATGAACATACATCATCTAGAAGATGAAGAATATTTAAGTCTTTCATTTCGTCAAGTATGTAGTTGGTTTCAGTGTTGCTCCAAAAGTGTTTTGCTGCGTCTCGCAGTGACGCTTCTTGCTTATTTCTGGTACCGTGGTCTGTTCTCGCACATGTGCAGACTGAGAAATCCGAAAGAAATCAGAGTAAGAGTTTACATGCACTAAGAAATCTGATTACAGAGCTAAAATCCAGCTCTCTTTATCAGATTTCTTATTCAGATTTCTAAACCTTACTCCGATCTAAGAAATCAGAGTGTTCTGTTTACATGACCATTTGAATAATCAGATAACTGCAGAAATCTGGTTATGATCAGAGTATTGAGTGCATGTAAACACACTCATTGAAAGAGAGGAATCCCACACCAGCCAGATCTCATGTATGTTTGTAGTTACATATAACATATACAAAGTAAATTAAAATGTTTGCAGTAATAAATTGCACATAAATTATTACTCTTTAATTGCTAGATTATTCGACTACTGATACAATTGACAGTGACAGCCCTATACCAGTTAGGGAGTTTCTCTAGCACAGCAAGTCAAAGGCAAGAACTACTTAAAGTGTGCTTCAAGAAATATTATTTATATATATTTATATTATTTATATCCCTGAAAGAGGGGAAACCCACACCAGCAGGATCTAATGAGTGTTCATATGCATCTAAAATTCAATGTACAGGTAGTAAAATGAAACGTTTGCCGTGCATTATTTCAAGGTCTGGCAGTCTGGTATGCTGTTTGATTAGATGTGGAGCATTCTGCATCTCAAAATGGTAATAAATGAATGGACCATCATTTTCTCTGGGCTAGATAGTCTTTGGATGAGGAGAGATAGAAAAAGAGAGAAAGAGAGAGTGATAATGTTGAGCTGTTATGAGGCTCTACGACCAGGTGGGTGGGCAGAGGCTGACTGAGTATGCAGCAGGAACAGAGGGTTTTGCAGCGAGACACACACACAGAACGCTGCTCAACTTGCACACACACACACACACGCGCGCACACACACTCTGACTTCAGGCATCGTCTCAGCATTGGCGGAATAGGGACGGCACACACATCTCTCTGCATGCTGCCTTTTTCCTGTTATATGAGTGGAGCTGCTTGGAAGGTGAGTGTAAGTATGTATGTGCGTCTGACTGTCTGTATGTGTGTGGTAGACAGACAGAAAGAGAGAGAGAGAGAGAGAGAGTGGGAAACAGAGGGATATACATACACATACGTTTGTGTGTGTGTGTATATATATACATATATATATATATATATATATACACATACACATATATATGCGTGTGCAGAGAGAGAGGGAGATTTATGTTTATGTGGTTTAGGCAGAGGAAGCTGCAGCAATAATGACATTATCAGAGACGGAGCACATGCTGCTGGGCCTCAGCTTCTGGAAAGCTGGAATCATCGCCTCATTATACAGAGAAGAAAGAGACAGCCGGACTTTAAAGGGATTAACATGTGTAGCAGAATGTTTAAAGCTGCATTCTGGAGCTAACAGTCCACATAGGTCTTTTCTTCACTATCTTGTGTTGAGCAGCTTTGCCAGGCTAAGTTCATTCAGGTCATGGATAATAAAGGTGACACAGTAATGCTCTGTATACCAGTTGGGTTAGGGCACTAGGGCACGCTGTCTCATTGATGTGAAGCACTGCTCTTGTGAAGCATCAAAGCTATTTGACTGCTAATGGCACCCCCTTGTGGAGAACTGTCCGCCTGCTAAATGTGAGGGAGTGAATGAGTGAGTTACAAGCAGTGCCGAAGTGGGTCTTGTTTTTATTTTTAAGTATCTTAAGGTCCTGTCACATTTCTCACTGTCCACCTGCTTGGAAATGTCCTCATCCTCCTTATGTAGCTTCATCATTCTTGTCTTCTTGGTGCCAACTCGGTTTGCAGTTCTTGCCAGTGCCGTCCATCTTCACATAATTCACATACATTTGCAAAAAAAGTAATGAAATCTGTAGACCACTGCTTGTGTCACCATTGCACTCAATTTGATATGCTAATCTCGAGGCTGAGGTTACCTTCATATTTCAATTTCTGTTCCACCTTAAATAGTGCAGCAGTTGCACGCTAGCGCACATGCAGATGTCTGAACGTAACTGCTACAACATCTAAGGTGGAACAGGAATGAGAATAAGAAGCTAACTTTAGCTTCATCTAATCTCTATCCACTGTATGAGGCTCATTAGCAATCACCTGGGCTGGGGCACTTCAGGTGCTGTTAGTTTAACCTCTAAATTACTACAGATATACACTTGGACACAACATTTGTAGTTTTTATGAGCATTCTTGTGCTTGAGTTTGTACATTAGCTCACATTAACAGGCCCAAAATGCTACCAGCCCACCAGGAGTTCACTCAAGTCTCCTGGTTAGTTACTAGCCAGTTCAATGTGATGCTTGGTGTCTAATATCAAATGTCTCCACAATGTTCCTGCTCATCTTCAAATGATAAGCCAAAAAGCAAACATACAAATTTCTCCTCTTACCCCAATGTAATTGATCAGCCAAAACATGTGTTGTGTCCAAAGTTTGCTTCTTTAGTTTTGGAGCTAAAGCTAAAGCTAAAAAATAATGGAAGCTTGTTGAGAATTGGGCATCATTAAAATCTTGCGTAAAACCATGTCTAGTTGTTACGTAATCTCAAATAGACTTGCTTATGTGGTTTGAGACAGTGTGTGGCATTGTGTTACCTATAGAAATGAACAAAATATGTTCCAAGGCTGTATTTGGGAAATGGCAAATTCATTCCCCAGTGATGCCACAGCCATCCGACTCCAAGAAAACAGAATTGGTCTCGCTAAGACAGCCCTCCTTCTTCCCCATCACTCAGCATGAGCATGATCAAAGTCTTTATAGGAACATCTGTCCAGTCTGCGACCAGCTTGGCAATGCCTTTGGGCAATTATTTACTGTCATTTGTAGCGTTTAGCTAAAATAACGCAGAAAACACATTTTTTTCAGCTTGTCCTGACTATGAAGGAGGGCTTTTCCCACTTGCAGCTTTACCTGCTAGCTGATTAGCTCTTTTTACTGGACAGTGGACAGACGCCATGTTGAGCCTTACAAGCTTTTCCATTTGTTTGTCAACCAGTGCACTGTCTCCTCATTATAATGTCTCTGGCGTTATGCTAGCTAGCGTGGGTGTTTGTTAGCTGATGTATTGGTAGTTCTCCTCCAAGGATCTTAAACTGCCAAATGATAGTGTGTTAGCTGCAGTTTGAAAAGATACGGTGGCTCCTCATGTGTGTCAGAAGAAGCACCAGGCCTTATTCTCATAGCTTGGTAGCATCATGTGATAGAGGATGACTTTACCTTTGGCTAAACCAGGGAGAAAAATTTCATAGCTAAGAGCAGCAATACTATTGTTTTTAGCTATGCAACATACTTAGCATTTGAGCATATGAACCCACATAAGATAGAAGTATAAGCTTTCACCACTTGTTAGCAACATTAGCCTCGTAGGCCCAATACAAAACTAACGAAGCAAACTAAAGACACCAAACATGTCTTGGCTGATTGAGAACATTTGGGGTAAAGGAAAGTTGATTTTTGGCTGAATCATGGCTGATAATCTGTTACTTTGAGTCACGTTGGAGAATTGGAAACGTCTCCATAGTGTTCCTGCTGGCCTTAAAACAGCTGCACGCCTTCCTCAGGGGGACGCACTCGCTGGCCTGGACCATGAGCAATGAGTCTGCCGTCTGGAAAAACCTAACAGAAAGCCCCACAGTAAGTATACATCTTCCTCTCTCTCTTTCATTCTCTCTTCCTCTCCCCTTCTTCCTGCACTGTTCTCTTTCATTACCTCCAATCTCCCTCTACAAGTATCTCCAGACATGCAAATAGAAAATATCCTGTTCTGTGTTCTCAGTAATTGAATTCTCAGCCTGATCTAAACAGATTAAGCCCTGCACGAGAACTTTCTTCAGTCAGACTGAGCTCACTGCATAGACAAACAATGTAGACAAACATCAGAATCAGAATGACAGCCAGCATCTTCAATTACCGGCATCTGCTAAATTATCTTCTTAATGGGAAAAAAATGTTGATCAGTGGTTGACTTTAAGCTGGAGTTTTCTTTGATGGAAGGCAGTTGGTGCCTTCCAGCCAAGAACAGCATGAATACAGAAACTTTAAAGCACCGACAATGACTGTGATGTTATTTGTGTAGTTCTGAAAAGTTTTACCTTCTCATGGATTGGCCTGGTTTTTGGGTGCAATTATGTCTAGACAATAAACAGCATAAATTAGTCCTGGGACTAAGACTGGGGACTTAATTCTAGGTCTAGAAAACCTGCCTTTTAAAATTTATGCATAAAAGTCACCAACGCTCTGCTGACTCGATGACTGCAGAGTTCCAAACCTCCTCTGGCATTAAAATCCGCACAAAAACTGCACCAGGAGCTTCATGGCCTGGGTATCCATGGCTGAGCAGCTGCACGCAAGCCTTGCATCACCATGCACAATGCTAAGTGTCGGATGGAGTTGTGTAAAGAACACCACCACTGGACTCTGGAGCAGTTGAAACATATTCTGAGTGACGAATCACTCTTCTCTATCTGGCAGTCTGATGGACGAGTCTGGGTTTGACGAGTGCCAGCAGAACGCTACCTGCCTGACTGCATTGTGCCAACTGTAAAGTTTGGTGGAGGAGGGACAATGCTATGGGGTTGTTTTTCAGGGGTTGGCCTAGGCCCCTTAGTTCCGGTTAAGGGAAATCATAATGCTTTATCATACTAAGACATTTTGGAGAATTGCTTCCACCTTTGTGGGAACAGTTTGGGGAAGGCCCTTTCCTGTTCCAGCATGACTGAGCCCCAGTGCACAAAGCAAGGTCCATAAAGGCATGACTGGGTGAGTTTGGTGTGGAAGATCTTGACTGGCCCTCACAGAGCCCTGACCTCAACCTCATCAAACACCTTTGGGATGAACTAGAATGGAGATTGTGAGCCAGGCCCTCTCGTCTAACATCAGTGTCTGACCTCACAAATGCTCTTCTGGATGAATGGGCAAAAATTCCTACAGACACTCTCCAAAATCTTGTAGAAAGCTTCCCGGAAGTGGAAGCTGCTATATCTGCAAAGGGGGGACCAACTTCATATTAATGCCTATGGATTTAGAATGAGATGTCATAAAAGCTCCTGTAGGTGTAATGTGTAGGTGTCCCAATACTTTTGTCCATATAGTGTATATGCCATCGATTTCAGTCATACAGTTAGAGTTTATTTAAGATTACTTAACAACTCGACATGGTTTGAGGACACTGTGTGATAATTTACTCATGGGCTTTACATGCTAACCGGGTTCGATGTCAGCTTCTAGTACGTGTTAGCTACATTAGCCTTGTAGCTCCAGTACAAAGCTAAAGAAGCAAACTTCAGACACCAAACACATCTTAGCTAATTGAGTACGTTTGAGGGTTCACTCGCTGTCCTGGACAATGAGCAATGAGTCTGCAGTGCAGTCACAATGATTTTTTGGACACACAATGACCTGTTCATAATCACGATAAATGTTATACTATATAGATTTTATATTTGCAGTGCATTATATTATTACATTCTGGCTGTGAATATAAATTACAAAATAAATTAATATTTTAGGATATTTAAATTCTCAAATGTTTTATTTTTTTCTTTTTTGTTTTCTTTTCCTGCAAAGTAAAAGTTAGAATTTCACAGTCAGATGGACGAAAGGCTGAAAATCAAGGTTTTAAGAGAAATCCATTCAAGATGTACGTCATCGCTGTCCAAAGAAAAACATGTATTTCCATTTTTGGCTATTTGCACTTTTCAATATCATTTGAGCACAACAAGCATTCTTTACATTGTGTGAATATTTCAAGATGAATGGACCAATAAAAATGCACCAAAATTGCTTAGAAGTAAATCTCTTTCCATTGACTTACATTAAAAGTAAAGAAAGTTTTTGCCCTCTCCTGTAAAGTTACTATTTTGGATACATGTTTTTCTTTGGACAGCGATGATATACAGTAATAGCAGACAAACTTATGGCACTGTCCAAAGTCAGAGACCACCCTTCATTTATTTAATTTCCAGCCAAAACAGATATTAAGTTCTAGATATTAATTTTTCAGCATCATACAAAAAGCAGAAAACGTATATTTAATACATTTTTGTTCATACAAGCCTGAATAACTAAGTACAATTTTTGGTATTTAGAGTCCCCACCCTTTACCTTTATTATGGTTTCCATTCTTTTTAGGAGACTTGCTTTCAAGAAATCTGCAGGGATAGTTTTCCAAAGTTCAGTCTTAGAAGTTGGTTGCATTTTCTGCTTCTCACGATCCAAATAACCCCAAACAAATTCAGTGTTGTTGAACGTTGAGTGGAAGGATGGACAGAAACACCTGTGGATGTTTTCAGATCTGAAGCAGTTTGATTTTCTCCTCTCTGTCACAGATGAAAGCTTTAAATGTTGTTTATCTGATGGCGACAGCTTTGGTGGTCTACCAGGTCTTGTATGGTGTGACATGTTCCTTGCTTATGTAAGTGGATTGTCTTATATCTGATCTAATCTAAATTAATAACTTGGAATTAATGGCCATTTTGACTGCAAATTAAATAAAAGTCGCTAACTTTTGCACACTACTCATAAAAATGAATCAAAGACACATTTATAGCACATAAAAGTACCCACAGTTATAGAATGGCTTCTATTTTTGGCTTATAGATGAGTACCACTCAGATAATTGGAGGTATATACGCTGCTGTAGCAGTGAAGAAAGGCATGGGAAGGTAATTGTAAGGTCTTAGGCCGTATGCGTTTCCTATTCTTCTGCACCAATTTGGCTCGTTTCCACTGATCGCTTCTCTGGATAGATGGGCCGCGGATGACAATTAAACAGGTGGTGAGGCAAGAGGTACTGTGTGCCTGTGGGCTTTGATCTCTTTCAGAAGGAAGCCTTGTGTGCATTGTGCTGGTGTCAGTGGTCCAGGGCTGCGCTGCTGGATCTTTGCGAACCCCCCATTCACTCTTTGGAGCACTGAACACTGCACTTAACAACTCAACTCTGGAACAAAAGAACACACACCTGTGTCCTCCTCGCCCTCTCCGCCCACTCGCACCGAGAGATGAGCGCTCGCCGTCATGCAGAACAGAAGAGCTTTCATGCAGAGTCGTCTGTGTGTGCGTTTTCATTAGAAATGAAAGTTTCAGGATCAAACAAAAGAAGCTTTTGAAGCTCAGAATTGAAAATAATGTCATTCGAGCTCTTTAAGGATTTGTGCTGGCCTGTAGGCGCGCAACAAGTGACAGTATGAGGTTTGGTTTGAAGGACACTGTGCCTCTCTCAGAATTGAAGAGAAGAACATTCCTGCTTTATTAATGAAGCTTTAAGCGTCTGTACTAGTCTGATGTACTGCAGCTTGAAATGATCTGTGATTACATTGTGTTGGTGTGAGATGTGGCAAGTAGGAGAGAAATCTGTCTAAAAATATGATGTTGGTGTTGCAGAAAAGTCACTTTTTTGTGCCAAAGTGACGTCACACTGAGATTGTGTTTTTGTAGCAAAATCTCAGCTTCTGTTTCTCTGTTTTAAAGCTATTTTAGGCACTAAAAGCCAGAATGGAGGCCCACACTTCAGCACCTCATTCTTTCTTATTCATTCATAGTAGGTACACAATATGGACAAAAGTATTGGGACACCTACACATTACACCTACAGGAGCTTTTAGGACATCTCATTTTAAATCCATAGGCATTAATATGGAGTTGTTCCCCCCTTTGCAGCTACAACAGCTTCTACTCTTCTGGGAAGCTTTTTACAAGATTTTGGAGAGTGACTGTGGGAATTTTTGCCTATTCATCCAGAAGAAGTCTGACACTGATGGTGGACGAGAGGGCCTGGCTTGCAATCTCCAGTCTAGTTCATCCCAAAGGTGTTTGATGGGGTTGAGGTCAGGGCTCTGTGCGGGCCAGTCAAGTTCTTCCACACCAAACTCACCCAGCCATGCCTGTATGGACCTTGCTTTGTGCACTGGGGCTCAGTCATGCTGGAACAGAAAAGAGTCTTCCCCAAACTGTTTCCCACAAAGGTGGAAGCATACAAATGTCCAAAAAGTCCTGGTCTGCTGAGACATTAAGATTTCCCTTAACTGTAACTAAGGGGCCACAGCAACCCCTGAAAAACATCCCCATAGCATTGTCCCTCCTCCACCAAACTTTACAGTTGGCACAATGCAGGTGGGTAACGTTCTCCTGGCAATCAGATAGAGAAGTGTTATTTGTCACTCCACAGAATACATTTCCACTGCTGTGGTTCCTAAATGCTTCCACTTTTCAATAATACCACTCACAGTTGATTGTGGAAAATCTAAGAGAGAAGAAACTTCACCAACTGACTTGTTGCAACAGTGGAATCCTATTACAGTACCATGCTTGAATTCAGTGAGCTCTTTAAAATGACCCGTTCTTTCACAGATGTTTGTAAAGGCAGACTGCAGGGCTAGGTGCTTGATTTTATACACCTGTGGCAATGGGACTGAATGAAACACCTGAATTCAATGATTAAGAGGTGTGTCCCAATACTTTTGTCCCTATAGTGTACCTAAAAAAGGTAGAAAAAAAGGTAGAAGTGGCTCTTGTGCGTGTTAAGAAAACAAATCAAGTTGAAATGAATTGAATTGACCTGTTTGTATTTTTACGCTGAATGAGTAAATTAACAGCAGCAAAATAATCTAAAATAACATAAAGTGAAATACAATCAAATGAATATATATATATAAGATAAATAAATAAATAATAAATAATAAGTTTAAAAAATATATAAAAACAAATTAAATAAATAAAATACAAAAAAGAAAATTGTATCATGATGATAATCAGACACAGAGGAATTTGAAATAGGTTGCAAAGCTTCACACATTTGAGAAAAGCATTGCTCTTCTTATCATTCATCACTTTAAAGGATGTAATCCACTGCTTCATTTCTAACACTGATATTTTTGGAATTGAATTTGAATTTGTTTTTCTGAATAAATTATTTTGAAGATAAAATAATTAACATATTCAAGAGCAGTATTAGACCTTATGTTGTAACAAACAATACCTTTCATAGTAAAGCTGTGACTGTGATTTACAGGAGAATTAAACTTAGGTGAGACCAGAAAAGAGACACAAAAGATACAATCATAAAAGAGGTGAACCACTGATTCACTTTCCTCCTTACAAAACACCTATTTTTAAAATTTATTTTAAGTATTAGCTTTGAAAGAACATCATTATCCCAAACGTTAAATCAGTCAATCAAGTCCTACAAAAGAGATAAAATTGTTTTTCCAAATCTCACAGGATTTCCACCAGGAATCATGAGGCGCATACCCAAATAAATGTTGTAAAAAAAAGTCTGTAGTAGTTAAAATAGGATATCCCAGTCACTCAGCTATTTTAATCTGAAACTATTTGTGATGATTTCTTGCATTCAAATATTTTACTGGCTTCTGCCTCCATCTGTTTGCCTATTGGATATGTCTTTCCACCTGGTTTGCTTACCATCTCTGTGTTGTCTTTCGTCTTACGCTATCTTCCCTCAGGCATACCCTTATATTCTGTATTTAAGTTAATTGCCAAGCTTTGTTATTGCTGATTTTGCTGCATTGTCTATTTTTGAATGTGGTTCTAATCTCACTGGTCATTACAATGGCCACTTTTAGACCAACTTTAGTAAAATAATAATAAGATTGGGCTAACATAATTAAATCATTACCAGTAGATCAAGTTCATCAGCTTTTAATGACCAAAGTTAGAAATGTGATAGCAGATTTTTTTAACAAATGGTGGTCAGTTTAAGTACATTTTGTTGGATTAACTAATGGCCTTCATTTGAAAGAAAGTCATTTTATTGTGTGGTAATACATTCCATATTTTTAGTTCAGGCAAAGAATGATTTTAGGCGCAGATACTGAATAATTCATAGTAGTTACTGAATGATTAATAGATGCTGAATAATTTCTGGGTAGCACTGTCGCCTCACAACAAGGAGGGGCTGGGTTCGATTCCCTGGCCGGGTGACCAGGGTCCTTTCTGTGTGGAGTTTGTATGTTTCCTCCCACAGTCCAAAGACGTGCAGTCAGACAAATTGGAGAGGTTAAATTACCCCTAGGTGTGAATGTGTGTGTGAATGTGTATGTCTGTGTGTCTGCCCTATGATGGACTGGTGACCTGTCAAGGGTGTTACCTTCTTTCTCGCCCAGTGACCGCTATGATAGGCTCCAGCACCGTCTGCGACTCAGGAGGATAAGCGGTTTAGATTGTGTGTGTGTGTGCGTGAATAATTTGTAGTAGTTATTGAATAATTCATAGTAAATGCTGAACAATTATAATAGTAACTGAATAGTAAGCCTTGAAGGGGGAGGTTTGATGTGAAATGATTCTCTGAAGAGAACTTAATGATTCTTTACAGTGGTGGTGATAGGAACCAGAGGTCTTGATGTCTACAACATAAACAGAACCTTTTTATTTGCCATTTAAAACAAAAAGTGAACCTACATGTCTTCTGCGTTGCTATGTGTTGTTGATAATGATAAATAGCTGTTTATCTACTACGTTGCCTTCCAACATATTATTTAATTATGCAGAAATGTTGACAAATGGTGGAATGTTCATGTATTATTAATAACCGAATAATAAACCTAGAGATTAAGGGGTTAAAGGGGTTTCATTGAACTCATGTTTCCACATTGAACCTGACTGACCGCCTCTGTTGTTTACTCAGGAGCTCCCCCTGGAGCCCGGGGGGCAGGATGGCTACGTCCTGCTGCTGGTCCTCTTGTCCATCTTCCTTGGGGGGACGCTGGTCCTGCTGTCCGTCCTGCTGATCGCCTGCCGCCGCTGCTGTGAGGGGGACCGGCGCTACGCCCGGTGAGACGAAAGTGAACCTAATTTCCACATGAGTAAAATGTATTACACCTACACAGTTATTGCCAAAAGTAAGTACAGTGAAAGACGAAACTGTGTGGATGTAACATTTTTTATTCACATGGAAATTATGTCTTCAGCTCATGCACTAATGCAAGGGATGCATTTCTTCTTTCAGTGTAAATGAATTAGGCCTTCCTGGAGTAACCCTGCCCCGCTTATTTTAGTACTTTTCCTGCTCTGACACACTTGATACAGCCAATCTGCTGATTACCAAGCCATTTCTGAGGGGAAGTGATTGTGCAGGGAAAACACTAAATCATGCAGGCAGGGCTGCTCCAGGACCAACACTGAGTGTGGATAATATATTGTAATGCATTTATTCACAAGCATCATATAAAATAACAACCAATGACTAAATTCTGCTCTAGTTCAAATGATTACAAGCGCTAATAATCCTTGTTTCTGCACTCGTTGTCCATTTTATCAGCTCCACTTACTATATAGGTGCACTTTGTAGTTCTACAGTTACAGACTGTAGTCCATCTGTTTCTCTGCATACTTTGTTAGCCCCCTCTTACCCTGTTCTTCAGGACCCCCATGGCCCCTCACAGAGTAGGTACTATTTGGGTGGTGGATCATTCTCAGCACTGCAGTAACACTGACGTGGTGGAGGTGTGTTAGTGTGTGTTGTGCTGGTCTGAGTGGATCAGACACAGCAGTGCTGCTGGAGTTTTTAAACACAGTGTCCACTCACTGTCCACTCTATTAGACACTCCTACCTTGTCAGTCCATCTTGTAGTTGTAAAGTCAGAGACGATAGCTCATCTGCTGCTGCATAGTTTGCGTTGGTCATCCTCTAGTCCTTCATCAGTTGTCACAGGATGCTGCCCACAGGACGCTGCTGGCTGGATATTTTTGGCTGGTGGACTGTTCTCAGTCCCAGCAGTGACACTGAGGTGTTTAAAAACATGAATATATCCAACTTAGATTTTGTCATATATGCACATATGTGACACATGCCAACTTTGTTGTGTGACATTGTGCATTTTGACAAAATCTAGTGGATACAAATATATTTCAGCCATATATATATATATATATATATATATATATATATATATATATATATATATATATCAGCTCATGCAAGCATATATGTTTAACACATCTATTCAAAAATATATGATAGAAAACACTATTCAACACAAAATAATATTCATATATGATTATATATATGCTAGCTTCATGTTATACACGTTTTTTTGCATTTAATTTAGATTTAGACTCAGTGTTTGTATCAGAAATAGATATACAAAATATGTATGATCCATATTTTATGCATGTATGTATATGTATGTATGTCACCCACCTATCAGACATATGTATGATCTATATATTATGCTTATATTTGTGACTTACATGTACACTACATTTATGACCATGTATTTTGAAATATATGCCTGACCTTTTATGATATATGTGCATATATGGCCATATATCAGATTTTTATATGGGTGCTTGCAGCCCATCAGTAGACAGAGTGCTCTGACAATGAAAGAAATGGCTTTACAAAGTGCTAGCATAGGATATGTGTCCTATGCTGCAGTGCAGAAAAGGAGTGTACAAAAACTATAGAGCCAAAAAAGGCAGTAGGGACACGCTAATGGACCGGCATGCTGTAGGAGAGATATTGCCCATTCAGTGAGTGTATTATAGATAGCACTGAGATGGCTAATGACTTCAGTTTGTTCATGATGAGTTTTGCTTGTGCCTAAGGCCTGTTACAGAATGTGATGGTCAAAAAGTAGCAAGTGCTTCCAGAAGGATGAGTAAATCAATGGTTTCCCCATATTTTGCTCAGCTTTCCTCTTTCTCCAGTCATAGTCAATCAGCTAAGACATGTTTGGTGTCTGAAGGTTCTTTCATTTTGCAAACTGCATGCTTTTAGCATCACTTAGACTTGATCATGCAGCATCTGACGCTGTGTAAATATACTTTTAACCAAATTGAGGCCTCTAAAATGCTACTGCTACTGTCCATTTATATAGATCATAGTGACTTTATGTCATACAGGGTCAGGAATGACATTAGCATGTCTATTTGAGATTACTTAACAACTTAATATGGTTTCAGGCAATTATGAGGTGATGTAGGCATGCAGTTTGCACAATGCTAAATGGCTTAAAGTCCACCAATTTTCTGAATAATTCTGTCCTTGAGATGTAAACAGAGTCATTCAGAGTGGTTTGACATGAAATGGTTCATTGCAAAGAAACAGACTCTTTCAGATTTCTTACAGACTTACTGATTTCTTTACAGTGGTGGTGATGGGAACCGGGGGTCACAATGTCTACAATGTCTACAACACAAGTATAGCCATTTTATTTGCTATCCAAAACCACCAGTGAGAGGTTTATGTAATGTTGATTGAGTCTATGTTATGTTGTCATGGTAAGTTGCCATAAATCTGAAAAAAGTTTTTTTTTGGGGACTATTTTGCCTTATAACATTCTGCATGTTCCCTCCGCCATGAATGGATTAAAATAAGAGGATTAAAATATATCTTTAGCCAAAACTTCATCACAAAACTATCATAAAACAATGCCTCAGACATCAGGCAGCACATATCTAACCATTTCATGTAATAACCTTCTGTGAGGGAGATTTCAGATGTCTGGTTCCTATCACCACCATTGTGAACAATTCTAGCTTCAGATTTCTCTAGAACAGAGAATTTCACACCAAAGCACTCTGAATGGCTTTGTTTACATTCTCAACCACTTAATTATGTAAAATTCTTTGAAGAATTAGATTTAGTTTCCCTTTAATGCTTCCATCGATAGCTACATTAGCCTCATAGCTCCAGTGGAAAACTAAACATTCCTTCGTTGTTTGAGTACATTTTTGAGAAAACTTGTCTCAAATTTTATTTTTGGTTGAACCTCAGCTTGAAAATCTACTGTGATGGTGGGTATGGTTCCTTGTAGAGCTGTTCTTTCTGTTATTTTGCTGCCATCGATCTTCGGTGCCAAGTTCACAGTGCTGTGTGCTGTGCCTTTCTGTCAGGGGCAGAAGTGTTACCATCCTTCCCCCTGTGCTGGTCTGTTTGAGTGAGTGAGTGTGGTGGCTGAGAGGTACTGAGTGTGCCCGCGCCCCGACCAGGCTGGAGCGCTGCAGCTCCCACAAATGACGAGGCTAATGAGATCTCATAGCAGCCATCAGCCGTGATTAATCTCTCCTGGCGCGTGGAGCACGCTCCGACACCCGCTCACACACTCACACACACTCACACATAGTGGAGCAGAGTCACAGAGTACATTGCTTTGGACTGAAAAAGCACCCCCAGTTTATCCTCACTGCTACACGCTCCCATATGGAGGGAGAAATTGTCTCTCAGAAAACATGGATTACTGAATGTGCAGACAGCACAGCGGGCTCTGTAAAGGGTGGGCGATATATCACAATACCTGACATTTTCACAATGCATGATATGCATCACGATACTTATTTTTTCGGAACAGACAAAATGCACCAGCTGTAAAGCAGATGAAAGACCATAATAAAGTACAGTTGTATGCAAAAGTTTGAGTGCCCCTGGTCAAATTACATGTTTTGTTGATTTGTAAAAAACCTCTACAGAGAACAGACTTCTGAACATTTGAATGCACAAGCACTGTTTATCTGCTGAATACAGCATATTGGAATAAAATAATTAAATCAAATGCTGCCTGTACAAACATTTATAGCACGTTTTATATTTTATATGTTTAATTTTTTCTAATATGTTAAGCTCAGCAAATAAATAGAAATTGTGCATTAAATTTCTCAGAGAAAACACCATATTAGTTAAATGTTAAAGTGCAATTCCACCAATTTTTCAACATTTCTGTATAAGTCAGTAGTTGGGATATAAACAAAGTCATGCAGAGTGGTTTAATGTGAAATGGCTTTGTTGAGAAACTTGCTGACTGAGATTTCTTTACAGTGGTGGTGATGGGAACCAGGGGTCACCTTGTCTACAATACAGATATAGCCATTTTATTTACTATCCACAACCACCAGTGAACCTACACGTGTCTTCTGAGTTTTTATATGGAACGTTGATGATGGTCAAATAATGGCAAATTTGGAAACAAAAAGTTTTATTGGGGACTACTTTGCCTTATAGCACCCTACATGTAACGATGTATCTCTCCACCATTAATAGATTTTGAAAGTACATCATAACCCAAAAGTTTATCTCAAAACTGTCATAGAATAATGTCTCAGAGATGTGGCGGCATATTCAGAGCCGTTTCATGTAATAACTTTCTGTAAGGGAGCTTTTAGAGGTGGGCGTCTGGTTCCTATCACCACCACTGTAAAGGAATCTGAGTCAGTAAGTTTCTCTACAGTGAACCATTTTACATCTAACCACTCTGAATGACTTTGTTTGCATCTCAACCCTTTAATTATCTGAAAATCAGCAAAACGTAATTTGATCTTGGCTGTTCTGTTTTATACAACTGTATCAGGACAAATTCATTTCGGTGTTTGCAAAAATAAACGGTTTAAGAAGGAACAGGTGGAAAATCAAACCACTGAGAATGAGTAAAATAAGATAGTGGCATAATGGGCTGCCATCCAATTAGCTGCTCTTTATTATGGGGTTCAGTTACTGTAGACTTGTTGGAGTTCATTTTTATCTATAATTGATCTAAACCTAAGTCATTTCATGTCATTTGGTTGACCGTTATTCTTTCTCTGTGTTGAAGGTTCATTCTCTGCTTCAGAGCCAGTGATGATCCGGAGAAAACCACCACCTCCTATCTCGAGGAGTCTCAGCCTGTGCATGGTATGATGGGTGTAGCTTATTAGGGCTATTGTACCTAAAACATTAGGACAGAATTACCAGTGCTTTATTGGGCCAAACATCCATAAGTTCTCTCTCATATAAAAACTAGAAAACACAGTCAGCTCCATAATTATTAGCACCCTCGATTAAGATGTTTTTGCGGTTAGGTAGCTCAATCTTACGGAGCCCTGCCGGTGACATCCTGTATAAATAAAAATTATGCGTGGCCATGACTGAGTAAGGAGTGGGAACGATATTTTTAAGTCGTGGCCACAAGTTCGTAAGGTGTAGAAACGAGATTACGCCTTATTACGCTGTGGTCAAGGCTTAATTATCTCATTCCCTTGCCTTACTAAGTCGCGGCCACGCATTAGGAACTCGTTCCCATGTCTTACTAAGTCGTGGCCACGCATTAGGATCTCGTTCCCACACCTACATCGTTGCCACATATTGTTTTTATTTATATAGGATGCCACCAGCAGGGCTCTGTAAAATCTCATGCTAAAAATATGAGAAAATTTCAAACTTTTAATGATAGCAAAAGTAAACATGTTAAACAGGTTAAAAAGAGTGAAATATAAATGGGAACTTCTTTAGTTACATTTTATTCATGAGAGGTACTAATAATGGTTTTGTTAAAAAAAGGTGTTTTGTTTTTTTTCTCAAGTTTTCAGTGTGAGAAAATTAACAACAAAGACTTTTTTATGCTCTTTTTTTTTTGTAGGGTGCCAATAATTATGGAGCAGTGACGTGTATAATATGGGCATTACTCAACACGTACCTTTTAATATTTTCTGCTGTTCCCCTTGGGCCTTAAAAGAGTTGATATTGCCATGTTGCTATACATTCGATTTGCATTATGTAATTATTTAAATGTGATAATTGCATAATTAATTACATAATTGGTTATGTAATAGCTTTATTTGGTTTACGTTCTGTATTGACAGGTTTGAGTCTGCATTGACTTTTTTCCATTTGTTTTGATGTCAAAAAATGGCAAAAACCTGACAAAAAAATTTGGAATAAAAAATAAATCTCCTCCTTACAAAAACGCAAATATGATGAACATTGAAAGATTAGAATCTGCATATTACACATAATTTCTCTGTTTGGTTTAATGAGCTACGTGTGAGAAATAATTAACAACAATCTACAACAAGTGGTTATTGCCAGCTGTTACTTCAAAGGGTTATAGGTCACCTATTTTTCTGCCTTTTTCTATTATAAACAACTTTAAATTAGAATCCAGTGGGCAGCTGCTTCACCTACGCGTTGTAATTATTGTCTGTGATAGTTGAGCGTACGTTACAGATGTGGCAGACAGAGATTATTGTGAAAAACTATTATATTTACATTAATCGAGCACATTTTTACATGTGGTATGTATTTGAGAAGGTGGGATGTACTTGGTGGCATGTTTGGTCTCTTCTCTGCAGAAATCACTATCCGTGTGGATGAGTCAGACTGTGTGTCAGCGGGCAGCTCCCACGACGCAGAGACCGAGCGCTTTCTCTCCACAGGGGACCACGGGCCGCCGGGTCTCTTTCAACGAGGCTGCGCTCTTCGACCACAGCAAGAAGACGCAGGAGAAAGGTCGAAGGTCAGCCGCCCACTCACCCTCGCCTCCCTCTATCTCTTGAGCCGGACAGCGTTATTCTCTTTTATTAACCTCTTAAACCCGCGGGGCAGTACGTCGGCCCACGCTTCAGCTCCTCACCCTCAGACTGCAGAGCGTACACGTTAGTTTTAGTTATCAGATAATCCATAAGGGATCCTAAAAGATACATATTATGGTTAATGACTGAATTATAGACCTGGGGTTTGAGGGGTTAATGCACAGCATAAAGTTCAGAGACAGAGAGAGAAGAGACGAGAGAAAAAGAAAGAGAAAGAGAGAGAAAATGAAAGAGAGAGAAAACGAGAGAGACAGATGGAAAGAAGTGAGAGACAGAGAAAGAATGGAATTGAATTGAGAAGGAGAGAGAGAAAAGAAAGAGAAGGGAGAGAGGAAAGAGAGAAAGGGAGAGAGAAACAGTGAAACTAAGAAGAGATGAAAGAGAAAAAGAGGAAAGAAAAAATGAAAGAGAGAGAGGGAGAGAGAAAAAGAGAGACAGAATGAGAAAGAAAGAAAGAAAGAGAGAAAAAGAGAGCAGAGAGAGAGAGAGAGAAAAGAGAGAAATGAGAGTAAGAAAGAGAAAAAAGAGATGGATAGAGGAAAAAGAGACAGAAGAGAGAAAGGGATAGAGACAAAGGAAAAAAGAGGAAGGGAGAGAGAAATATAGTGAAAGTGCAAGAAGAGATGAAAGAGAAAGAGAGGAGAGAATCAGCAGAGGAGAGAAAAATACAGTGACAGAGAGACAGAGAGAAAAGAAGAAGGAGATAAAGAGAGACAGAATGACACAGAAAGAAAGAAAGAAAGAAAGAGAGAAAGAGAAAGAGCTGGAAGAGAGCGAAAGGGGAGAGAGAGGGAAAAGAGACAGAAAGAAGAGAGTGATAAAGAGATAATAAGACAGAGAAAAGGGAGAGGGACAGAGGAAAAAGACAGAAGCGAGAGATAGGGAGAAAGGAAAAAGAGAGGAAGGGAGAAAGAAATAGAGTGAAAGAGTGAGTAGAGATGAAAGAGAAAGAAAGGAGAGAAACGGTGAAGGACAGAGAAAGAGTGAAAGAGAGAGACAGAGAGAAACGGAGAAAAAGGAGCAGAGAGACACAGAACGAGGAAGAAAGAGAAAAGCGAGATCGGGGGAAGACAGCGGTAGAGAAAAGAGAGACAAAGAGAGAAATAAAGAGGAGAAAGAAAAAATTGAGAGAAAGAGAGAGTGAAAAGAGAGAAGAGATGAAAGAGGGAAGAGAAAGTGGAAGAGAGAGAAAGAGTGAAAGAGAGAGAGAGAGAGAGAGAGAGAGAGAGGGAGAACGGAAGGAGAAAAAGAGAGACGAATAAGGAAGAAAGAGCAAGTGAAAGACAAAAGAAGGATCAGAGTGAGAATGAGAGGGGGTAGATAAAAGAGAGACAAAGAGAGAGAAGAGAGAACTAAAAAGAGGGAGAGAAAGGGGAAGAGAAAAAGAGAGAAAGGGAGAGAGAAATAGAGTGAAAGAGTGAGAAGAGATGAAAGAGAAAGAAAGGAGAGTAAAGGTGGAAAAGAGAGAGAGTGAAAGAGAGAGACAAAGAGAAGGAGAAAAAGAGAGAGACCGAATGAGGAAGAAAGAGCGAGAGAAAGAGAAAAGCGAGATCAGAGAGAGGGGGTAGAGAAAAGAGAGACAGAGAGAGATGAGAAATAAAGAGCGAGAAAGAGAAAGAGAGCGAGAGAAGATAGAGAAAGGGAGAGAAAGTGGAAGAGAGAGAAAGGGAGGATAAAAAGAGAGATAGAATGGGGAAAGAGTGAGAGAGAGAAAAAAGAAAAAGAAAAGTGAGATCAGAGAGAAAAAGCGAGGGGTAGAGAGAAGAGAGAGGAGAGAAATAAAGAGAGTGAGAAAAAGAAAAGAGAAAGATGGAGAAGAGAGAGAGAGAAAGGGAAAGAGATAAAAAGAGAGAAGAGAGAGAAAGGGAAAGAGATAAAGAGAGAGAGAGAGAGAGAGAGGAGAGAGAGAGAAAGGGAGACAGTAGTAAACTGTAAGCGACTGTATATGATCATTATGATCTGTGTGTTTGAGCTGAGCTGACAGTGTAAATGATGGTGGGATGTGGGCTGATTGGATATGAATTATAGAGTATTAATCCTGGGTTTTCATGTATACCAGCCTGCCTACATTTCCTCTGAGAGGACTTGTCAGTATGTAACAATCGCCCACGTCACACGCTCTTCTCCCAGGCGGGCATCTTCATTTTTTCAGCCTTTGTTTTTCTCCGTATTGGGTTTGGTCGGCCCACGCTGTGCAGTGCGTTCGTGTGGACCCCCTCTCTCTCTCTCTCTCTGACCTCAGGTACACACTCACCGAGGGAGACTTTCATCACCTGAAGAACGCCAGGCTCACCCACCTCCACCTCCCTCCCCCTGCCCTCAAGATCGTCACCATCCACGAGTGTGAGTCATCGGAGAACAGCATCGCCATGACAACCCGCCCCGTCGCTAAATCCAGCCTCTCCATCTTCCAGGTGACAGCCAGAGGTCCTCTCAGCTCGTAGCGGGAGGAATGTGGGGTCAATCAGGGCAGAGACAGTAAAAGAGAACTACAGTAGGTCAGCTGAGTGTGCTGGGTCAGCGTGTGCTGGGTTTAGCTGACCGCATAATGTAGTGCTGATTGGGCTAAGGAGAACACTCAGGTCTTCTCAGTGTCATCCTTATTATTGGATTGCTCTCAGTATTGATTTGGTCACTTTCCATATACATAAGTACACAGATTGACACTCTTTCAGAAAAAAATGCTTTCACTGGGGTTTGTCTTCAGAACCTTTAGTTAGGGAACAACTATATTATACACTGATCAGGCATAACATTATGACCACCTCCTTGTTTCTACGCTCATTGTCCATTTAATCAGCTCCACTTACTATATAGGTGCACTTTGTAGTTCTACAATTACAGACTGTAGTCCATCTGTTTCTCTGCATACTTTGTTAGCCCCCTTTTACCTTGTTATTCAATGGTCAGGACCCCCACGGGACCACCACAGACTATTCTCAGCACTGTAGTGACAGGTGTGTTAAAGTGTGTTGCGCTGGTACAAGCGGATCAGACACAGCAGTTTAATGTTATGACTGGTTGGTGTAGTCCACCATCTCTGAAGTTATCTGAAGTTATACGCTGGTGCAAATATGCCCCTGTCACCTGGGAAAGGGAATGTAGTGTACCTTTAAGGCTCATTTTAAAAATTCTGCATAATTAAATGGTTAAGATGCAAACAAGGTCATTCAGAGTGGACTGACGTGAAATGCTCTGTTTTAGAGAAATTCACAAGTTAGAATTGTTCTCAATTCAAGCCCAAATTATGCAGAAAACTAAACACCGTAAAAACTTTTTCTGACAGTGTACACTGAGAAAATAATGCATTTGCCCAAAAAACTCTTTTTTTCACCTTTTCAAAATATGAAAATATCAGCTGCCATTAATATAATGAATGAGTCAATAGAAATGGCCAGAAAAAGAAGTATTGTTATATTAACATACATTAAAGTTAAGAATGTGTTTTTCCTTCTTCTATAAAGTTATAGTTTGTGAGATACAGTGCTTGTTTTATAGATAGATAGATAGATAGATAGATAGATTGATTGATTGATTGATTGATTGATTGACTGATTGATTGATTAACCCCAAAGAAAACTGTAAGGTTACAGCATAAACAAAAGAAGTGTGAGGAAACACATTTTGTTTTTGTTTTTTTCCAGTATGTTAAACTGAGCAAATAAATCAAAATTGTGCTTTAACAATTTCAGAAAAAAATGCCATATTTAAGTTTCATTCCTGTAGAGGATGAAGAAAGTATACCTTATAAAATTTGCAGAATGTTCAAATCAGAACATAAGATGTTTACAAGACATTTCAGTGTTTCATTCATTTGAAATAGACCTGGGAGAGCATTGGGAGGGGTGTGTGTGTGTATGTGTGGATATATATATATATATATATATAATATATATATATATATATATATATATATATATAGAGCCTAGATATATGCAGATATCCAGACTCATCTTAGTAAATTTTTACTTAGTTGGGGAATAATATAATATAACAAATAAGGCATGTTTGGTTTAGAATAAAAAAATCTATATATATATTTACTGAACTATAGTAACGTTAAAACACAAGCAGCTAAGGCTGCATCTCATGTTAGGTGAAGTGTGTCCTTGCTTATACATAACTATATAAAACATTTTGAAATTGGTAAAAATGGGACTAAATGGCAACTGGACATTTTTTAAATGGGACAAAATATGCTTTGTCGGCTCACAATATACTTGGGGGGGGATATAGCTTATTAATAGGAAGTACTGGATATAATCATTATCAGTATGGGTTTACAAATGTGCTTGAATGTGTGAACATTTAGTGGACATGGAACGTTTGTTGAACTTTGTTTATTTTCCTGTGAGTGGAAAGTCTGTAAAACTGTTTTGTGTCTTATCTGCCCTCAGCCTCCAATCTGTCCACTGCCACAGACTGCCCTGGTCAGTCTGAGTATTAGTCCCAGTTCAGCTCTGCCAGGGGACGCTCTCAACTCCACTGTGGATACCAGCTTCTGTGAGAGCCCACCGGCTCCTGGCCCTGAGCCCCCAAGCCCTAGCCTGGTGAGACACACAAACATACACACCCCAAATATGCTAGAACTGTGGGTTTGAGTAATCAGTGAGGAGATAAATACAAAAAACTGTGAGTCAGTATGAGTCACAGGCACAACAGCCTGGAGCCAAGCAAGTTAGTCACTAGAGTTATAAACCACTGAGGAACTGCGAACTGTTCAGAGTGTGTCTGGGATGTCAGAGCTGCAGCGAACCCGAAATGGATAAACAAGGAAAAATCATGTGTCTGCTATTTCATACTATTCCACTATTTCATTATTTCAGCCTTCGTCATGTTATTTGTACGATACTGTGCAAAAGCCAGAGACCACCCTTCAGCCATTGAGTATTTAGCTATTTCTGAGGAGATTACATATAACATAATCCAGTTGCATAAAAACAGTACACAGAAGCATCAACAACGAAATATAGCAGCAAATTTGATATCAAATATCAAATCAAATTCCACACTTTGCCTTTATTACAGTTTCCATTCTTTTCAGGAGACATGCCTTCAGTTTTTCAAAAAGATCTGCAGGCATATTTTTCCATACCCCCAAAGTTCAGTCTTAGAAGTTGGTTGCATTTTCTGCTTCTTGCAATCCAAGTAATCCCAAACCCATTCAGTAATGTTGAGGTCAGGACTCTGAGGGGGTCAGTCCATTGTTCTGAGAAAGTTAGTAGCTTCTTTGTTTGATCTGCAAATTTCCGTTTCTCGGTAAAAGCTTCTTGACAACTTCACACTTAAAGAAAAGGTTCTTCAATGGTTCTGTTTAGAACCATGAGCTCTATGTAGAACAATTTCATGCTTTTCATGGTTCTTTGCATGGTGAAGTTGTTCTTTAGATTGGTGGAGAATGTAATCCTGAACATATTCTGTGATGGTGAGGTCTGGACTCTGGGGTGTCTAGTCCATTGATCTCTGAATCTTTTTTGCACTCCGGTTTTGGAAACTCCTCTTTTTTCCTTTGCCTTTCCCTTTTTTATGCAAGTGAATTATCTTATATCTGATCTCCTCTGAAATATCTCTCCGAAAAATGAATAACTTGTTGTTGGTAGCCATTTTGAGTGGACAGTATATTAATGATGGGTGGTCTCTGGCTTTTGCACAAAACCGTATCTTGATTTTTTTTGCCATATTAGCCAGCTAAATTAGCATTTCTCCTTTGTCACATTTAATCACCATTTCCCTTGTTCTCTTGTGTCTTTACAGATTGCTTTCTGTATTTGACAGATCTCCGTGTATTTGGAACCACTTAACCCCAAATTAAAATCAAATTAACTTATATTAACCTCACATTAAATGCATGGGCGTTTCACCCACCAGTCGCTCGTGCTCCAGGTCGTTAGTGGTCTGGCACTGATCTACGAACTAGTTTATCTACCATCATTTTGTACTGATAAAAAAATAATAAAATAAATGTTGTTGGTCGCTTCTTGGGGGGAATGAGTGACCTGAAGTTTGCATTTAAGAGTTAATGGTATTTTCTTTTCTATTCTTCCTCAATCAGATGGAAGTGAGAGGGCTCAGCCCAGGCAGCAGGCGTGAGGGAGCATCTCTCTCAGCCACGGGCCTGTCCTCCTCTGGCGTTGCCCCTCAGGGTCCAGTGCTGCAGTTCTTCACCAAGCTGCGGCGCCACGCCAGCCTGGAGGGAGCCAGCCCATACTTCAAAATCAAAAGATGGAAGTTTGACAGCAGCCAGAGAGCCTCCAGTCTGGACACCAGAGGTATGACATACACTGCCCAACTGAGGCTAGAGATGCAGTGGACATTTAAAATGAAGCCTTGGTTCTGCTATTCAGAGCCTAGACAGTATTTTAAATAAATAAATAAAAAACAACAGCCTTGTATCATGAATATTCAGTAGATTCCAAAGAATAGATGTTCAGGCACAGGAACAGGGTGAATAAGCGGGATGACATTTTCAGAATGGCTGTCTGAATTTTAAATTACAGTGACATGTCCAATTATGCTTGCTGTTGGACATGCAAAGGTACATCGGTAGTTATGGTTATATATATATATATATATATACACTAACTCTACACTCATTGTCCATTTTATCAGCTCCACTTACTATACAGGTGCATTTAATAGTTCTACAGTTACAGATTGTAGCCCATCTGTTCCTCTGCATACTTTGTTAGCCCCCTTTTACCCTCTTCTTCAGTGGTTAGGACCCCCCATGGACCCTCACAGAGCAGGTATTATTTGGGTGTTGGATCATTCTCATCACTGCAGTGACACTGACATGGTGGTGGTGTGTTGCGCTAGTCTGAGTGGATCAGACACAGCAGTGCTGCTGGAGTTTTTAAACACCTCAGTGTCACTGCTGGACTGAGAATAGTCCACCAACTAAAAATATCCAGCCAGCAGCGTCCTGTGGGCAGCGTCCTGTGACCACTGATGAAGGACTAGAGGATCAACACTAACTGTGCAGCAGAAACAGATGAGCTACTGTTTCTGACTTTACATCTACAAGGTGGACAAAAAATCAATGTGTAATTTGACCAGGGGCACCTGAACTTTTTCATATGACTGTACTTTACTGTATGAACCATAAGAGCAATATTGCTAATGGTGTAAAATATACAAAATATATAAACAGAAATATATCATATACCGGAGAGACACAAATGAAGAGGAAATGACTTCAGAGAATTCTTCTCAAATCATATTACTAAAGGCTTGGACTTAATAATGGCTTGTACTCATAGATGGGTATGAAAGGGTTAACTTCTTCAGTGCTTGCTTAATTAATTAATTAATTAATTAATTAATTTGCTGCTTCCACAGCAGGTTACGCACAGCCCAATTTGCCACAGTTCATTTCAATGAGAATTATTTATGGCTTTCAAAGGAATGAAATGACTTCATTATGTACTGTAACCAACTACCATATCCATTATATCATAAACAGTGATGGGCATTTTCTGTTTTAACTAATATTTTCACGCTGACTACACTTAGATAAAGACCTGAAGTGTCTGGGCTCCATTTCTATCACACTTTCAACTTGGAAACCAACAAATATAAAATAAGATGGATACACTGGTCCACATCTCTGAGGATACTTTAACAGAACTGCAGTGGTTAGTTGACTGTTTGCTTATAATCTAAATAAAATAAATAAGGTAAACAATGTCTCTGATCATGAGCAGATATTTAAAAAATAGTGAAAATACATAATGTTTTTGGAATGCAGCGTTTAAAGTAAATGTTAAACTACTCTTAAGTCATAAATTAAAGCACAAAAAATCATCTACACTATATGGACAAAAGTATTGGGACAGACCTCTTAATTATTGAATCAGATGTTTCATTCAGTCTTATTGCCACAGGTGTGTAAAATCAAGCACCTAGCTGTGCAGTCTGCCTTTACAAACATTTGTGAAAGAATGGCTCAGTAAATTCGAGCGTGGTACTGTAATAGGATGCCACCTTTGCAGCAAGTCAGTTTACGAAGTTTCTTCCCTCCTAGATATTCCTACGATCAACTGTGGGAAGTATTATTGAAAAGTAGAAGCGAACTAGAAGAGAGATTACGAGCCAGGCCCCCCGTCCACTGTCAGTGCCTCACAAATGCTCTTCTGGATGAACGTAATTCGCACAGACACACTCTGAAATCTTGTAGAAAGCTTCCCAGAAGAGTGGAAGTTGTTACAGCAGCAAACTCAAATGACACTGTGTGGGATTAAGTCCAGCGGTCGACTGTCAATTCCTGAAAGTCTGGAATGAAGGAACTGTTTCTTTTTGGGTTTGGTTCCCAGCCCTATCGCTTACTGTAGGGACAGTAACAAAGCAGATGTGTTTTGTTTCTTTCTGTCGGCTACACAATCCAGTCCTCAGTGGGTATATGGGAATTGAAGTGTATTTTTTGATTGGTGACAAATAACATCTGCGATAATGAGTTCTGTGCCTGCATAAGGAAGCAAGGTGAACAGGTGGCAACCTGGGAAATGAAGACAGTGTTTTGAATCCATAAAATGGTCGTTTTCCTGGCCCGAGGGAGAGCAAACTCATACTGAAAGTGTCATAGCTTGTCATTAAGCTTTTAAATTGTGCATTGCCTTGCAAAACGCTCAAAGACCTTATTATATCTGCAAGCTTCATCGGAAGAGAAGTAGATAGTGAGAGTCAGTGCATGTGTGTATCCATGTGCGTGTGCCTGTTTGTGCAATGCTGCAGAATGTACTTGTGGGTAAGAGGGTGTGGTTGTGTTCAGATGCCAAGACTTCCTCTATGGCAGATGGTTGGGTGATGGCTCTTTCCTTCCAAAGCTTCATAGGCAAGCAAGCAGTCTCTCTCTTATACGAACTGATAAAGAGACCGAAATGACAAATCCACAAATGCTAGCCAAACTGCTGCACAATAGTTTGAATAAAATGTAATTGAGCAAACGGAATATAGATAAAATAGACAGGATGTATCAATATTGGGCCAAAGTTGGCAGAAAATGCTGGGAAAATGATTTTGGACGGAATATATAAATGAATCTAATCTATTTGTGTCACAAATTTTTCATGAAATAGCCCATACTTGCATTGCGTGACATCATGTTAACTGTATATTTCTTCCGCTGGGGTAATAGAGTCTTTAAGCAGTTTGAGCATGGTAGCCTACTTTTAGATGATTAACTTAAGTGAAGTGCTTCCATTAAAAATAACTCATTTTAAAGCATAGTAGTTTTTAATTGATACTGGCCTGTCATCAGTACTGGACGATACTCAGAGTTTCATTATCGGTATCGGTATCAGATTCAGGAGTATTAAGAGTAGGTGATGACCTGACAGAGAGGAGTAGACTGTTCCACAATCTAAGGGGCTGAGACAAATTAGGCACAGTTCCCCTCATGCCTCAACTGAAAAGGTTATTCAGTTATCATTCAGTAACCCTGAAACATGTTTCAGTTAAACATTATGCAGTTAAGATGTAGAGGAGCTGATGTGTGGGTGTAAATATGAGCCCTTATGGAGTTAACTGTGGGTCATTTGGGACGTATGTTGATCACATCCACTCTACTTCACAGGATCCCCCAAGCGAAGGCCGTTTCAGAGGCAGCGAGCAGCCAGCGAGAGCATGGATGAGGAGGAACACGGTGCCCACCACATCGACCTTATCCAGTACATTGCGCGCACCAAGGACATGGCCTACTGCCCAAGCAGGCCGGCGCCGCGCCTCCTTTCCCCCCCATCCACACCCCCACCGTCCCTCGGCAGGTATCTTTAATTCCCTCCCCCATCTGTCCGCCGCAGCAACCATCCACCTCTCCTGCACCACGCAAACGAGCCATTCCATGCTGGAGTGATGGCGCAGAGTCTTAGCAGGGCAGTGTGACCTTATTAGTGCCTGTGAAGTTCACGGGAAATGGGTCAAATAGCTCCGGGGCACTTTTGAAGATTGCAGCTGCTTTGGAACTGCTTCCGAGTTCCTCAAGTACCTTGTGTACCAGAGAGGTGTGTGGGTGTGTTTGCTTAGTCCATGTCAGTTTCATAGGTTGCATTGCTGCTCTTACATTCACACACACCAAGGCTCATGGCTGTGCAGTATTTCTGTCACATTAACCACAGTGTGTGGCATAGTACAGTACACCATCTGTGCTTTGGCAGTAACATCTGCTTCAGTCTCTTCTTGCTTGTCTGAAAGCTGTCAAAGAAAAAAATGTGTAATGATATATAGACCAAATGATGTGTAACAGCGTGCCTGAATCAACTGTATTCATGTGAGAGATATGATCCCATCACATCATCTGTGTGAGCTGTGATCATTTCTGATGAACTTATGTGTTCTTCTGCAGGTTAGAGGTGGAGGTGATGGTGGAGCCCAGCTGCAGCAGAGCGATGGGGCCTGGGGTGATTGGCCTGAGTGCCGAGCCCCAAGATGAGGCTCCTGGAATGGGCTATCGTCGGGAGAGTACAGATACCCAGACCCTCTATCGTGACATCTGGACCCTGCGTGCGTCTCTGGAGCAGTACATTTCCTCTGATCAGAGCAGTAACAATGACAAAGACTCAGTGCACAGTGATGCGGACAGCGTGTGTTCACTTAGGCTTAGGATGGAGAAGGGTGGGCTGCCCAGATACCCCTCTGAAGATACTGGGGATGGGATGGAGGGGGAGATAGATTTGCCTGGAGATACTGGTTTAGAGAAACGAGGGAAGAGGGATAGCGTGGATTCAGAGAGGGGGAGCGATGGAGAGTCAGGAACACGGAAGCTTCTGCAGATGGACAGTGGTTATGCATCTATAGAAGCCCCGTCCCGTGGCCCTGATGAGGTACGGCTGTTTCGGAGCAGCAGTGACAGTAAGGACGGGTCAGCAGTGGAGCGCCGACATTTCTTCACCAGTTCAGGACACAGGGGAACCGTGTGCGAAAGCTTTGAGACGGACATTTTTGATGAAGAACTGGAAGAGGAACCTATGGGAGCCAGCGGAGGTAGTGATGGCTTGACGGAACTGGACGAGGGTGTTATGGTATGGTCACCTTATGGGCAGATGTTTACTCAGTCTGACACAACCCAGCCACGTGCCCCCGTTCTGTCTCGTCGGGACTACAGCATAGACGAGAAAACAGACGCTCTCTTCCATGAGTTTCTGCGCCATGATCCCCAGTTTGACCTGCAGGAGTCACCGGTGCGTTCCAAGCACCGTTCCCGTGTGCACCTGCGCAAGCAGTGGCAGCGTTCCAAGCAGTACAGCGACCCAGGCCAGCGCTTCCACTCGTCCTTTGACCGATACCGCACTCCACTTCGCCGTGGCGAGACTGTCAACTACCCTCTAGAGAGTAGCTATCACAGTACACTCCCCCGAATTGTCAGCGCTCCAGATGAGGAGAGCAGCGAGGGGGCAGCCAGCCTTCCCGAGACACCCAAGGCAGATCAGAGCTCGGCAGCTGCAAGTGAGGATGCTGCAGCTTTGAGGGACGACCACACAGGGGTCTCTCCCAGCACTGACACGAGTGGTGATTTGAAGGACAAGGTGGAAATTGCATCCTCAACATCACCTCCCCTGACTGAAAGCACTGTGGGACAACCAGAAGTCCCGGCAGAGGAGTCTGGGCAGATGCGCCCGCTGCTTGAACCGGGTGATGATCACTCACCCCTACAGCTGACCGAAGCAGGGTACGGCCCCCAGACCATCACGGCCGAGCTGAGTAATAAGCTGGCCATGAACCTCGAGGAGCGTCTGTACTCGGGCCTGCGCAGGACCAGGGAACAGCCAGAGTGCGCGCTGACAGCCACGCATGCCTCACCCGACCACAGCCCAGTGTAGCATGTGGCTCCACTCATCCCCACCAACTCTATGCTTACATCTACAGGGCTTCAGTGTCCAGGTTGGATGGAAATTACCCTTAAGTTCAGAGCACACCGACTCAACGTTCTCCAACAAACACCAACAAACCAAAATATTATGCCATACTTTGGATGATTCTAGAACAGACATACTCAATCCTGATCCTGGAACTCTACTAGCCTGTAGAGTCCAGATTCAACACACCAAGATCTAATATTCAGATGCACCTGGATTACCTGGATCAGGTATACTAGATTAGGACCGGAGCTAGACTTTGCAGGGTTGTAGATCTCTAGGTGTTTGGGCGTCCCTGCTCAAGAATGTTGTTCCCTATTCATAGTGGTTCATTTGTCTTGTCAGTTCATGTATTGGAACAGTATACTGCTGACTGCCAACATAAGAATTTTGGTGTTTGTTGGAGAATGTTGGGTCAATGTGCCATGACCTTTAAATACTGATCTGAGACCAGGTTGCTTATCGCTTGAAGGTTAGAATCAAGACAGAGTCCCCAATCAGGTCCCAGATCAGCGTTGAAGGGAAATTCTATCCTACTTCATCTCCAAGGTTGACTAAGTGGAGATTAGGACCCTTACCTCACATCTAACATGACATTTTTGAATGGTATTTCTATTTGTTTGTTATTGCTTATTCAGGCTCCATTTAGCTATGTGTTGAGCTCAAAAGCCAATATATTCTCTGCACTAGGTACTCCACTGTGAAATTGGGTGCTACTAGACTTCCGATTAATTCTATGTTCTTCAGCATTGATTTGCCATATTTCTGTATAGTATCTCGATTTAAACTCTTCCTCTTTTTGGACAGAAAACTCTTAAACTCTGTGTGACCAAAATTAAGTTTTTATCATTCAGTTCAGGCTACGCATTCATCTAAATGCTTGCATATATGTGTGTTTTTTTAATTATGGCAATGCTTTATATGCTTTATCATTCAGTCTTGTAGTTAGAGGAGCTGTCGGAACTTTTCGTGTAGTTTTATGAAAGCCAATCTTAGTCTATGGTACAATGAGCACAAATGATGTAAGTGGAGATCACACATTAACGGGTAGCAATGACTACAAACTGCGTACCGAATGGTCGAGCGCCGCACTAAGGTTATTTGAAATAAGCTTCCCTTGATTGATGTCTTGAATGTGATATAGATTCAGTTCCTCCATTGATGCTCTTCTGACCCGACTCTAGCTCAGATACCTGTTCTGTCAGTCTAGCTGTAAAATAAAGTAACTTCGGATTAATTTAACATGACAAAATGAGGTATGTATGTTGCACTACAATGATCCATGTGTGACCTCTGCTGAGTATGCACCTTCGTCACAGCTCCAAAACCACAGTATTCTTCATTAAGTGTCCTTGTCATTTAAACGTGTTGTGGTTTGTCCTAGAACTGCTGAAATAGGGGAAAACTGCCTTTTGTGGGATCAGTGTTGTTCATGACCATGCTACTTATTTATTATCCTTTTAATATTCAGTGTTGATGTACATGTTTTTTGTTTAATGTCTAAAAATGAGAATTGATCTACAGTTCAAAGTTATAGACTGTTTGGTGCCAAATAGTTAGGTCAGGTAAGCTAATCAACAGAATCAACAGAAAAAAAAAACAAAAAATGTATTATTGTGGGAAACAAATTCATAACCTAGTTGAGAGTGCACAAACACTGGCCTCTGTCAGGGTTTGAATGAGGCCTATGCTGTGTCCCCAGAGTCATTTGTGTTCTATTAGATTTGATGAGGGAGGCATGCTGCTTCCTGCATGCTTGTCACAGACCAACCGCTATGTGTTCATTAACATTTGATTTTTGTGTGAACACAACAAAAGAGAAGTATCCCCAGAGGCCAACAACTGCACATCCGGCCTCTGGAAAAAAATAACAAAGGAGTCATTTGTGATGAGTCCCACGTACACACATAAGCCCATGCAAGTGGAAGTTGCTACCAAGCTACCATTCAAGTCAATAGCAATTATCCAATAACCGGGATTAAAGATAGGAATTCCTATTCAGGGATTCCTGGGGAGAGTAACTGCTGTTGGTAAAAGCCTTTTGTAGATCTGTGTTGCAGAGTATGGGCCAGCTTCTTTGATGAGGTTCATCACATGGACCTTCTCATTTAGAGCAGAATTCAGCTTTGTTTTGGCCTTTCCAAATGTTCAGAACTCACGGGAGAGAGAAAGGAGAGAGGGAAGCCATTGGGCCATGTGGTAGCTAAGGGAGGCTAGAAATGACATAGACACAAATGGGGTGCCATAGGTGTCTTTTTATGGCATTTTTCCACCAGACAAGGTAGTACAGCATGGTATGGTTACTATTTTAAACTATCTGTATCCTGTTTGAGTACCTTTGTCATTGCACCATAACTTGTTTCGCACCAGTCAGAGTTTATCAAAGGTTTGATTTTTTCGACCCTACTCTGAGTGTAATCTAGTAGTGTAAACTGGTCACCAACTCAATCTGAACGACTCCTGCAACAGTCAATGACAAGTGAGAGTATGAAAGAAGAAAATACAAGTAAACAAAGAAAAATGGCAAAAAGTCACTCACATGTGGAGCAAAGCTTTTTTTATGAGCTGAGTTTAAGGCACAAGCACAGTTGAGTTTATGTACATTTAAAACTCTAAAAAATACCTCACTGATCACATTTTGAAATCCATGAGCCTCAGTTACACCTGTTTACCTGCTGCTTCTTTACTGTGTCAGTGCAAATGGCAGAGGAAACAGCAGCAGCGTGGCGTACCACGTTTGTTTATTTGCGTCTCCTAGTAATGGGAGAGTGCGAGAGTTCTTGCGAGTTCAGTGAGTTCTGTTCAGTTCAGCAAAAGCTTAAAAGTTGAGTGGTGTGTGATACCCAATATTTTAATCACCCAAACAAATCTGTAAATGCCAGTCATATAGTGTGAGATGCCCAGTCTTTTTATAATCTGTTAAGACTTTGAAAGTTGTGTCGTGAACCCAAAGCTTTAGACTTGAGTCGGACTATGATTCGTAATGATTGCATCAGTGGCCTTCACACAAGATCACAGATTTGTAACCATACCATGCTGTACTGCCCACTGGAAAAACACGAGTGCTAGGAGAGAAAGAGAGATGTAAGGATAGAGTGGGTGTAGAGAGCTTCATGTTCCTCAGATGCCAATGGACAGTGTTTGGCATTAATACTGCGAGAGGTACAGCTTCCTTTAAGCATGTTTAAAAGCATTAAAAGCATCTCCTACCTGTGTGTCCTGCAGCTTCCACTGTATCTCTTTACATCATGTTGTATGGCTGAATTCGCTGGGTTCCTTTTCAATTCCTGACAGCACAAATCCGAAACATACTTGCTGTTTGATGAATTCCACAATCTGTCAATGACAACAAAGCGAGACCAGGTACATTTGTACAGAGGGCAATTCTGAAATGTATACAAGCACAATAGTGTCCCATAGCAGGCTCTAGAGTAGTCTATGTCTTTTCTTTAGGTATAGACTCTAAAGGGGATACTGGAGTGATCTGTTTTGTGCGCTATCAAGTAGCCTGTCTAATGCATTGATGCATTACTGTGCATAGTTTTGCATGAGATGAAACTGTTTTAGTAAAGATATCTATTTCAGATCTAAAATTCAGTACCAAATTAGAAGCTACATATTGGATGCTTATTTGTTTAAAGCATTAAATAAATAGAAATCAGAATGATATTCGTACTGACATAGTTTTTACGTATTTTACGGAGTCTATTTATTTTAGGGGTACGCCTTGCTGGCTGATGAGATTTTTGCTAAGATTATGTCCATGGCAGAAAAAAGATATATATTTCTTTTGCTAGTATATTTCCACAAGAAAAAAAAAATCTTTTGCTAGCTATATTTCCATGGAGAGAAAAAAAAATATTTCTGTATAATTGCTTGATATTTCAATGGCTCAGTTTACAGAGGAAAAACGGTAGAAAGATTGAATAAACGTTTGGAGAACAATCGTCAATTTTTGTTTACCTCGATCTGTTTACTCTGGATCTTTTAAGCCTTGAGGGACCAACCAATGTAAATGTTTATTTTGGGTTCATGTTTTCCAACTAGCCAATAAAGAATGATGCATTATGTCTGTGTATGACTCGTCATTTTTGGTTTCAAGGTTTCATCTGTAGATTACACAATACACTCTTAGCAAAAACTATTTGATACCAAAGAAGCTGGCTTAATTTGGAACAACACTTTTGGTCAGAGACCACCCTTCATTTGCATAATTTCAGCCATTTGAGTACAAATATTTCATTTTTCAGTGTCAGGGGGAAAACAGAAAATATATTTAACAGAAAATTACACAGAAGCCTGAACAATTAAATATAATATTAAAGCAATAATCCACGAAAAGCCGTGGGTTACTGCGATTTTATCACAGGGCAGGGTGTTCTTAGGCACAATGCGAAGCAGAGCTTTTATAAAATGGCGGCCAACATAAACTTTGATAAAATATACACTTTTCAGAAAATAATTTAACTTATTATTAATAATAATAAGTTTAATATAATAATAATAATAAGTATTTCTCCAAGAAATGTAGTTCCTTTAGTGTATGGTGTCGTTGCCAAGCAACCATTGATCGTTGAAAGAGGAGAAGAATATTCAGTCACTCATCGCTGTATATTGTGTTCTTTTCATGAACCTTTAACTTTTTGTCATATAACAATGAACATATAATAAAACAGCACTGTTTAACGCAAAAACTTTCGCTTTATAAGTACCTTTTGGTCACTAAATCACCACCACGAGTCTTATTTAGCACCAATCTAGTGCTAATTACCCCTCTTCTTGTGCTGGGGCTGAATCTCAAATGGCTCCCTGCTCCCTACATAGTGCACTACGTAGGAATTTAAATACTGGATCCTGCACCCTGACAGTGAATGATATAGCTAAAAAATATTCATTTGGGATTCAGGAACATCCACACTCGATAAATTATGCACTATTTGGCTGTAGAGGGTAAAATTTCTAAACTTCCATAGCTAGCACACTATTTAGGGAGTACAGAGCCGTTTGGGGTTCAGCCTAGGTTTGACACGACTTCTGACTGAAACACGGACATTTGAAGCGCATACTCCATTCGAGTGACATTTTAAGGGTTTTATATTGTCCTTTTACAGTTAATCATATTGGAAGTACTTTAATTCAAGCCTGTGATATTAATGATGGAGTTGTTTAGGCTGTTGGCTATCTTGTAGCCTGTTAGCTAGCTGACCAGCCCAGTTCTAGTTAAGAACATAAGGTGCCAGCCACTCAGTTTAAACAAAAAAATGGTTCTTGCTTCATCAGTACACTCTGTAGTTTCTGCAAGCAGCATTAGAGTCAAAGATTATTCCATTAACAGCACAAGGATTTGTCGTGATGTGGCGCAGTGACACACAATTCATTGTGAGGCGGTCATAGGTGTGTATATATCGTGGATTTTACAATGGCTTTGAACGCGGCCAATCAGCCAATCAGATTTTAGGGTCAGTCCATTGGCCTGAGAAAGTTAGTAGCTGCTTTGTTTGATCTGCAAATTTCCTTTTCTCAGTAAAAGCTTCTTAACAGCTACACACTTAAAAAGGATGGTTCTTCAATGGTTCTTTAGAAACGGCAATGGTTCTGTTTAGAACCATGAGTTTCACGTAGAACAATTTTATGCTTAAATGGTTCTTTGCATGGTGATGTTGTTCTTTAGATTGATGAAGATTGTTTTGTATATGGTTCTATATAGCACCAAAAAGGGTACTTCTATTGCTACAATGTTAATGAATGAAAAAAGGTGGTTCTTCATGTGTTGTTTAGTAAAGAAAATAGTTCTTTTTA